CAGACACTGTTTGATCCTGGGCAAATCCCTTAACCTCTGTCTGCCAGAGTTTCCTCAATCATAAAATAGGAAAAATGATAATGCCTCCCTCCCAAGGATTCTGTGAAGTTCAAATGAGATAATATTTGTAAAGTGCCTGGCACATAGTAGGCACTTAATAAATGTTTGCTTCCTTCTTTCCTTCACTTGGATATTCATAGAGGGTTAACTTATCAGATTCACAGATCCCACAAATGAGAGGCATAGCTAACATGCTGGATAATGAAATCAGGATTACAAAAGTTCTTAACAAATTTGGGGCCAAATATAATAAGAGGAAAGTTAAGAAAATCATCTTCATAAGCATAAGGCCTGGAAGATATGGCCAGAGAGTTGTTTGTCTGTAAAAGATCTGGTTTTAGTGGACTGTGAACTCTTTATGTGTCTGGTGTGAGATGACAGCCAGGGAAGCTAGTGCCCCCTCCAGCTGCATTAAGAGGAGGCACAGCATCCAGCCCTGGGGAGGGGATGGTGTTTCTGTCCTTCATCCTGGTCCGATTCCATCTGGAGTATTATAGTCCAGTCTCAGCACTGCATTTGGGTAGAACATTAATAATGTGGAAAGGGTCCAGAGAAGGGCAGCCAGGATAATGAAGGGTCCCAAGTTCATGCCATGTGAGAATGGGTTGAAGGAACTGGGAAGATTTAGCCTTGGGAAGACATAGGGCGGGGGGAACCTTCAGCCTTAAGGCCACATATGGCCCTCTAGGTCCTCAAGTGCAGCCCTTTGACTAAATCCAAACTTCACAGAACAAAACCCCTTAATAAAAGGATTTCTTCTGTAAAACTTGGACTCAGTCAAAAGGCTGCACCCAAGGACCTAGAAGGCCACAGGTTCCCCACCCCAGCGTCTTAGCATCTTTGGGTAATTTAAAGGCCATAGCATGGAAGAAAGATTCTAATTGTTATGCCTGGGCCACAAAGGATGGAACCAGGAGCAAGGGGGTGGAAGCTGAAAATTTCAGTTTGATGAAAAGAAAAAGTTCCTCACCACTCCACAGCTACCCAAAAGTGAAATGAGCGCCTACTAGGAAGCTAGGTAGCTCAATGGATAGAGCACTGGTCCTGGAGTCAGGAAGACCCGAGTTCAAGTGTGGCCTGATGTACTTCCTAGCTGTGTGACCCTGACTTCTGTTTGCCTCAGTTTCCTCATCTGTAAAGTGGGAATAATAAAAGCACCTGTAGTCCCAGGGCTGTTGTGAGAATCAGAAGATAATACTGTATTTGTAAAGTGCTCAGCACAGTGCCTGATATATCATTGGTGCTATAAAAATGCTTATTCCCTTCCCTTGTGGACTGCTTCCCACTAGAATGCTTCAAAGGCTGAATGAGCACTTTTAGTATGATGTAGAGGGAATTCTTGTTTAGTTACAAATTGGACGAGATGTCTTCTGAGGCTACTTCCAGCCCTGAGATTGTGAGGTTGTGAGTCACTAATGCCAACTTGACCATTTACTTCCTGTGAAACCTTGGGGGCAAATCTTTTAACCTCAACCTCAGTTTCCCAATATGTTGCCTCCCCCTGAACTCCCTTCCTGCCCCCCCCCGACAATAGATGTTGGTCTCAATCCATGAGCATTAGAGCTCTAGAACTGATGTCTTTGAGAGGCTGTGGAAACCCTCCCCTCCCAAGAACTTAGAGCAAAACCCACCTCAGAGGGTTCGTGGAAGGGAGATGAGGCATCTCATCAGATCTTTTCATTCTGTTCACAGTGCAGAGACTGCATGGGAGGCAAGGAAGGCGCCCCTGTGCTTTCTCCTTTGGTGACTAGGCAGGAAGGCCCAAGTATCCACACCAAGGTCACTTTGGTGATAAGCCAAGGTCATGTTGGCTGAGAAGCAGCCAAGCTCACCTTGAGAGATCTGAATGGGGAAAAGCAGAGGGCAAGGGAGGAGTCATTCAGAACAGCAAAGGGAGCTTCTTGGTAATGTTCTGGTAAAAGGACGTTGTAGAGGGAGCGTTTCTTCTATCATGGCTCATAAACATCTAAATTCCTTCTGGTACACACAGCATTGTCTCTGACCACGAAGTAACAGATTGTCGTCCTGTGTAGACCTAGAGGATGGGGTCATGAATTGAGATGTACAAAACTATTGGAACCTTTTCTATAAACTACCTTGTTGGTTACCATGGATACTGGCAACACAGTGCTTGTTTGGGCTAATGAAAAATCTATCACTCTGATAAAGGCTGAGCTGTTTCTGATAACTGTGCATTAAATTAATCCTGCCATTCTTGACAGTCAATTTTAACTATGTAGATTTTCTTGTAGATAATTTTAAAAATGGTGACAATTAATATTTTATGTTTTTATCATGAGGCAATCCAGAATATTATCAGCAAACATATGAAACTTAACTTACTAGCAGGCCCCAAACATGGGTTGTCTGTGAGAACCACCCTTAATCCATTCTTCAGAATGGCCAGCCTGAATTTGAGGCAGAGTCCCTGGTGAAGCAGTGAAGCTGGGTACATTCTACAGAGCGGAGCATGTAATACAGGCCTGACCAGGGGTGGGGGTTGGAGAAGCAAGGCCCACATTTCATTTCATTTCTCTGCATCACTGTCCAGACAGCCTAAACATATGCTTTAATGTGCATATATTCAGAGGAAGTTGAGACTATCTTTGCATTTGCACACTGAGGAACAGAGTAAAATATTGTTATGTCGGATATACATTGAGATCCCATCTCATCAATAAGATGTCAGAGCAGACATCACTGATGTGGGAGAGGTCATCTGGAGAGTGCAAAGATGTCACTGGACTCTGGCCATGAGGCAATCAAACAGGAAGCGTCATCTGTGGGCTCACTAGTGTCATCACATTAACACAGCCTTACTGGCAGAATTGGCATTCAATTGTTGGTAGGGTGGTGGGGTTTTAAATACAAAAATATTCTGTAAATATATTTTATGGGGAATAATCCTTTTGAAAAATTGTCACAATCCTGGCGATGGAGGGCAAGAGTAATGGGTAACAGTAAGATGAGAATTTAAAGACATCCTCAAATTCCTTCTCACAGATGACCAGGACAACCTGGCTGGGAAAATGGAATGAGCAACTTCTCAAATGGCATTTCTGGGTGCCAGGCTTTCCTGCCTTTGAATGGGGTGAGCTGAGGGCTCAACCAGATTGGGTGGAGTATTTGGCTCGGGCTATTTTCACCGTAGCCAAAGGACCTTTCTTAATTGTACTCCCAGGAAACACCTTGGAAATCACCTAGCACAGCTCCCAAAGTTTATTTTTCATAGGATCAGAAACTTAAAAAAAAAAAAGTACAACCCATTAGGTACTGAATGAACTGGTATGTCTTTTGATAATCTGTCTAAAGTGCTTTGCAAACCTTAAAAAGTGTATATAAATGTGAGACACTTTGTGCACCAGTTCTTAACAGCTGATCCAAGTGCTTGTTTCTCTGTGGTCTCTAGGCTGTGGAAGCGGCCAGCGGTACCCAGCCCTCTTATCCAGGCTGTACTCAAGACAGAAAATCACAAGAGTCAACCTCAGGGATTTCATCTTCTACTTGGAACAGGAAAGAAAAACAAGCCACTATCTTCTGCTCTATCAAGCCTTGCTTAAATAAAGCCAATCATTTCCCTGGCTTCCTCAGAGGGAAGCTCAGATGAACATTTAAAATCTGTCATTTTCATGTGCCTTCTCTTTTTGTTTTCTCAGATGTCAGGCTTTGGTTTATGTAAAAATTAAGATGCAATAAATCCTCCCAGCCAGAAACGAAAGCAAAAAAATAAAACACAGAGAAAGAATGTGCAAAAGGTTTCTGAGTGCTGAAGCCTATTGGTGCCTTAAGCACCTCCCTGCCCCTCTGGGGCTGGGGCTCAGGACACTTCTGCCAGTGGAGACTTTCCTCTAAGGCTGAACCCCATCTTACCAATTAACCATTGCCATGCCTGCCTTGGGTTTCAGATATATTTTAATTGCAGCTTTATACTGTTCTGAGCACATCTGCATTGGGCTCCCTACAAACTGGGCACATCTAGGATGGGGGCTGGGCCCTCAACATGAGTCCTAAGCATTTGTAGTTGAGCTTTGTGCCTTCAGATCCAAGCTGAACTACCTTGACAACCCACCCCGACCCCCACCCCCCAATTGTTCTCTGTCATCTGCACAACTTTTTGCACATTCCCAACAGGTGGTTAGTAACAGGAATCAAGAAGGGATGGTGTTTTTGGTATAAAATATCTTTTATTTATTGTGAGTAACAGGCTACTGGTTTTTAAAAGAACTGTTGAAGGATGGATGTTAAAGTTGTGTGCATCGACTTTTAAAGTCACCATCACACCAGGTGGCAGCATTCCTGTGTGAGCAGGACAATCATCCCCTTTGAGGGATGCTGTCGGAATGGTGAAAGGATCCCTTTGCTCAACCATCTTTTACATTTTTGACCATGTTTTGAGAATGCCTCATTTGGGAGGCAAAGCTTTTTGAGGGAACAATAGCAAAAGCACAGACAGAACTTTGTCCAATAATTTTAAAACAAGAATAATTGTTTTTAAGGTTTATGAAAAACTGGGGAAAATTTTATGTTTGCAATTTAGCCAAAAGATTATTCACAAGGTATTCAGACCAGTAAGTGTAAAAATGTTTTAAATATATTGATAATTTGTATATATCATTTACAAAGTCCTTATGTTTATTAGAATTGTTATTTTGACAATTTCTGTACATGAAGTTCCCCAATTTGTGTGAAAACATATTTCCTTGTTTGAATTTATTTTATAAAGAAATATAGGGGCAGCTAGGTGGCACAGTGATTAGAGCACCAGCCCTGAAATCAGGAGGACCTGAGTTCAAATCCAGCCTCAGACCAAACACTTGACACTTAATAGCTGTGTGACTCTGGGCAAGTCACTTAACCCCAACTGCCTATTTAAAAAAAAAAGAACAAATATAACTGTTTGCTAAAGTAACACATTCAGTGATGTACAGTTACTTGTTCTCAATGATGATTTTGTATCACATTTTGTTATTTTACTCACTGGTCAGAAACATTTTTGCATCAAAATATTAAGACAATAACCACAACATAATAACAACCCTCAAACCTATAGTGGTTGAAGTTCTGTTGTGCTTAAGTCTTTCTCTAGGCCAGATATGGTCTCACAAAATCACCAACACAGTTGGGTGCCAGAAAAGTCAAGGAAGACACAGTGCTGCCTTCTCTGCAGCTCTCCATCCAATAAGCATGGCCTAACGTTCTCCACTCCCTTCTTCTTCTGTCAGATACTGGAGCCAAGAGATGGGAGATATGGAAACCAGAGTTTTGTTGTTGAGTAAAAAGAAAATCCCAACAATTTTGTGAAGAAAATTAGATTTTTCTGAAGAATTTCAATTACTGTGGGCTCTTCAGAATAGCACTCCAGTCTATACTGTCCTTTCCTGGAGGTGCTGGCTGTTTTTGTGTTAACAGGCAGGGAGCAAGGCTCCTAATTCAGTCTGTGCTGCTATCACTGAGCACAGCTATTATAAAGGTGGAAATTTGCTCTGGTGGGCGTGGCTGTTAGAACAGGAAAGGGAGGGGGGTGGGGTGGGGGAAAATGGAGATTTAAAATAAAAAAAACCCTCTTAAAAATAAAAAAATACAAAAGCATTCAAAATCAGTGACCAGAACTGCTAGCTAAATGACCATATCCTAGTTTAAACATTTTTCCTTGGAAAAAAAAATGTACTTCTCCTAACGGAGTAATTGCTTCCCTACCTCTTCTCCCTTGTTAGGGCTGCTTGCAGCTAATGTTGGGGCAATAAGGGCCAAACCATATGCACAGTATGTGTGCACTGACTCACCTGACTGGGCCCGTGAGGCTTCATTCTATGCCTTCGCACGTGGCTCTAAGCAACTGCTCTGTAGGGCCATAAAAATACTGTCAACACCAATAGAAAGAAGTAGAGGAAAAACAAAACCCAAACATTTGTAACTTAGTTTAAAAAATGAAATACCCTGCAAAGGTTTTCTGCCTGTTGTTTTCAGCCTGGGTTTCCATTTGCTTTTCCAAAATGAGGTACTGATGAGATGTATTTAACCGTTACAGTTTCCTGGAGTTTCCTTTAAAGACCAAGACTAGAATTGAGCACCTCTTTACCACAAGATAGGAGGGGTGTGACTGGAATGAAGGAACTAGACTGAAGTGCACATAAACACTCAGGCCTAGGAAATTACACCAAGAACACAACTCTCCCCCCCCCCACCCCAGCGGTTGGATGAAGCCAATTATTTCTCTGGTTAGACCAAACAAATCTCAGGAAATTCAACCCAAACTTATCTCTGGGACAGAACATGGGAGACAAGGGTTAATCCTCAGGACTGCATTTCAGTCCATTAGAGAAATGTTTATGGCATGAAGTACTGTGTAAGGAATACACGACAATATACATTAGGATCTTTACAATATTAAATGCATAATATACAATTCTACAGGTATCTTACAGATATCTGTTCAGATATGGCAGGACGGGGTAGCTTTTTCCATCAGTGAGTGTATAAAGTGTCACACTATATAAAATCAAAGAAGGAACAGCTTAGCTTTAAAGCCCCCCAAACACCAGACCAGCCTGGCTCAGTACCTGTTTGCACAAGGGAGGGATCAGGCCCCCAATGGGCTCATTTGTTTCCGTTCTGGGTCTATGTTTCTGTTGAATTCATTGTCTGGACTGAGGGGCCCCAGATCACCAGAAGAGCTCAGTCCCTCTCCTTAATGACCACGTTTGTCTAAGAACAGTTTAATTAAAATTCAGTGTCTACAACAGGATTCTATAAATTAATGTGGGAGAAACTAAATTGTTATTAGCGCACGAATTAGTGACTGAGGCCTCCAATCACGCCACACAGCAATGAGTAGGATTTCACAGAACGCTATTTATAGGCTGCCACCTGCAAACACAGCGCTGTCTCCTGAGTTACAGAAGCGGCTGCTGCTTAAGTCAGAAGAGATGATAACTGTTTTCATTAAAGAAACATTGTAGGGGCCAAATGAAAGCAATAGGAGAGACCTTCCCTTAAGAGACAGACACACAGCAGAAGGGCAAGTTTGCCATCAGTATTTCAAAAATACTTTTAAATTAACAGAGAAAGAAGAAACAAAGACATGTCCTGTCCTGCAGTGTAAGAGCATGAAGGGTGGCTCTTTTTCTAAAGCTCCAGACAGAGCATGTGCTGACCCCCCCTCCCTCACCCCTGCAGGGGCACCAGACCTGAGATGCCTACACATACAAGAAAGTGGGGAATGGGGGAGACAGGGCTGGCATCTTCCTTGGTCTGTTTTGCTAATACAAAAGCTTCCATACTTTGGCCTTGGTTTTGGGGGTCTTGTCCTGGGGTTGGGGCTGCTCCCAAGGTGGATCTTACTTTTGAAAATAGTCCACAATTAGTCACACTGACAGTTTCCTTTTTTTTTTTTAAAGTATTGAGCACCAGATAAATATGCATCGGTCCTTGTCTGTTTCTCTAACCTCGGCAGAGAAGCCACTTTCATTTTAAATATTGTAGAAAAATAAGCCATTTACTAGCATGAACAATCACAGACGTCAGACACACGCATGGAGATGTGGAGCACGTCAGGCGAGACGTGATGCCTCAGATGAGGCAACATTCAGCACAGTGTCACACTGGCCTCAGCCCCTCCCAGGGCCTTTGGCACCAGGTCAGGAGGGGGATGGGTGTTCCAGAAGGCTGTCGACTGGGCTCCTTCCACACAGGTCCTGTCACCAAAGCCCAATCAAACACCCCTCCAGCACTGGCTAAGTGCTGGTTAGGTCCAAAGCCACCGCCGCTGAGAAGAAATTGCATTCAATCACCTTCCCGCAAAGCCTCCTGTCCATCTGCCAGGCATGCTCCGGGGCTTTACAATGAGGACTGACTGGGTGACCACCCCTAACTGGCCAAGGAGCTCCACACCCAAGTTGCTAACACTGTTTTCCGACCCCCTTGGTGCCTCCCATGGGGAGGGCTCAGCACCAAGATGTCAAAGGCAGGCCTAGTCCAGGGGCTCCTGCTTTATCCGGATTGTAGTTGGAGCCTGCTGAAGCCGTCTGTCCTGCCGACACAGCATATATTCACTGAACTGGGAGGAATCCACCCCTCCCCCGCAGCTTGCGGCCACGCTAAAGCCTTTCTGAAACAGTCTCTCGAGGACCTGTGAAGTCAGAAACAACACAGAATCAGCACTGGCCCCTACAGCCCAGAACCCAGCGTTGAGCCCTGGCACTCCAGCCTGGAAAGAAACTCCTGGCTCTGGAGATACCCAAGAATGAAGGTTCTATGGTCAGAATTTAATACCTCATTTCAAATGACTACACCACGTGGAAACACAAGTTAATCAAACACACAAATCCTGCACTGGGCATTTCAAGACTTCTGGAGTGTGGCCCTGAATAGCAAGTAAGCTAATGTCCCTTTGGTGGGTTTTTCAGTGGGTAAAGCCTGTTGGGACAAGGGCCTCTTCTTGCCCATGAACACACCCTGGACCCAAGGATCTAACATGGCATGTGGTTAGACTGGGGTCTCTGAGCCCCTGGGATCACAGTATGTTGCTATGCTTGTCAGAATCAGTGATTTCACAGGCTGCGGGCCCAGCAGGAAGGAGCTCTGGCTCCTTCCAAGAGGGTCCCAGTCTGTGTTCCTAGGGTCTCCCAATGAGGAGGGCCTCACTCCTTGAGCTTATGACTCAGGAATTCTAGTGGGCAGCAAAGCTCCCACTCGGGGCTGGCTTTCTCACCCAGAATTCCTCTCCCCAGACCCTGCCTAAAACTAGTCAGACACACAAATTCCAGACAGCTTTTGCTGAGTCTGAGCAGCTCATAAGCTGAGAGGGGAGGTCTGACGACCCTGCCAAATAATTAAGGCTCATATAAACGATAGAGATGCTGCCCAGGGCTGCAATCTGCACTCAGCTGTGAGCTCCTGGAGCCGCAGCCGGCAGGGCCTGGAGGCAGGAGGAGTCCAGCTGGTGCCTGGGGCCGGAGGGGAGAGATGTCCATGTGTCCAGACACTCAACTCTTCCCATGAGAGGCTTGGGGGAACCCAGGGCACCTCACCCCAGGCAGTGACAGACGCTGGGACCAGGAAGGAGTTAAGATGGACAAGCAGAAGCAATGGTCATATCCCCTTTTTAGTGGACAAAAACTCTACCCTCCACCCCCTTCTTCCCTAGTCTATTTTACTCTACAGAAATGCCCCAGGCCTGGGCTCAGGGAAAGGACTGTCTAACAGGCACCAATTCAGCACCTTATCATCTTCTGACCTTAAAAAGCCCTGACCTGTCCTATGAGATACAGATTTGGTCAGGATGACAGGAAAGAGGCAGGAGCCATGGGAGGCACATGGCATCATATGGGCAGATGGGCAGACAGAGCCTTGCAGAGATCTAGACCCTTGGGTATTCTGCACAGGGAGGATACAAGTCTCCTCAAGTGAGATTTTTATACACACACACACACCCCCTCTGAGCTACTAGCTTTACATCGAAATTTACAGACCCCCTTTCCCAAGGCATCCCTTGCCCCTAAGAATGGGTGAGGGGCTGAAGGCATCAGAAGGCATCTCAACCCTTACTAAGCCATGCCCCCCATCAGTGTCTCCATAGAGACAGAGAGTGGAACTATGGTTTCATAGATCCAAAGAATTCCCAGATGAGAAATTCTCTCTACCAATTCAGGTTGCCACATTCCCTGAAAAGTATAGTCAGAGACTTGCCTAAGGCATTGAATGGTTAAGTGACCTGCCCAGGGCCACACACAGGCCAGTATATGACCAAGGTAGGATTTGAACCCAGATCTTCCTGGCTCCATATAAATAAAAAAAAGGTCTGAATGAAGTGACCTCAAAGAAACTGGTTTTAAGTGCATATGTGTATCTATGTATGTACATGTTGGATGTAGGGATGCATCAGATTTGTCTAAGAAATCTCCATAAGATTTACACACATGTCCATGAGATATGGCCGGCCTGTAGTGTCCACTAGTGGTTGCAAGTGCAATGCTATGACTAGACTAAAGAAGGCAGGCTTCAGCTGACCTGCATGTGCTGAGCAGCACTGACCCACATGGCCTGAACCAGGAAATCAGATGCCAGGACTTTCCCTGGCAGATCCCAAGCTGAGAAATTTCAACCTTGAGAAGAGCTAGAGTCTGATGCCCTGGGGGCAGTCTGGGGTTATGAGCCCTCCCCAAGTTCATCTTTCTTTGATTCTCCTCTCTCTTCTCCCTGGAAGCCCCCAGTCCTGGGCCTTAAGACCTTCCAACCTTGCCCTTCCTAATTATAAAACCTCCACCTGCTTGTTCAGCCCAAGCCCATAGGAAAGCTCTGGTCATGATCCTAAGTGGTCCCCAGAATCTCCAGGGTAGGGGCCCGCATTCCATGTCCACATCTAGTCCCTGTCCCACCCTCTTCCTGGTGCCTATTTAATTTTGAGCCTAACATGAGGCTCCAAGTGTCAAATGAAACACATTTGGTTGAAAATACTTCGGGCCATTTTTATAGAACATCCTTTTGGACAAAAAAAGAAAAGTGCAGAGATCAATTTTTTTTAAGTCCATCCCGCAGGCACCATCACTTAATTATGAGGGAGACATAAATTATGCATCAACACATTGTTGCCTTCCCTGGAAATGGCACAGAGGCTTCTGGGGTTTGGGCAACTCAGTCTCTATCTGTGTCTGCCTCTCTGTCATCTACCTCTCCGTCTCTTGCCTTTCTTTCTTGGCCTTTCACCAGGTCTATATGGGAATGAAGAGAACCCAAGGCATATTAGAAACCCTAACCCTATTTCCTGGCAAGACTGGGTTGGGGGGAGGGGGAGGGAGAAGGATGGGAGGGAGCCTTTTTGGTCAGTTTATATCAAGATGGCCTGGGGGAAGGAAATGCATGGTCACTAGGGGCCAGACAGGGGCATGGAAAGCTAGCTGCAATGCCCAGAAGGCTAAGAACATGTGGCCAGTGACAGGGTGAGTGGCTATTAGTGGGCATGAGGTCAGTGCAAGATGTGTGCCCTGGGCCCTCACCTGTACGGAGTTGAGCCGGCAATATCCATTCAGCGGGAAGCGGATGACGTGTGTGGGGTCCTGGTTCCACCCAGCATTGACAGAGTTGCACATGACATCGCCGGTCTCCGGGAAGACTTCCTCGATAAGTGCCTTCTCCCCACTGAGGGCAATGCGCTCGCCAAGGTCAGGTGTCACACGAACCACAAGGCATTCACAAGCCTGGCCACGGCGCCGCTGCTCCTGTTCCTGCTTCCAACGGTCTAGCTCCCTTACCATCGGCTGCAGTTGGTAGTAACGTGCCTCTTCATACAGGAGGCTGAAGTCCTGTGGACCAGTTGGGGGGTGGGGAGGAGGTGCCAGGGAGCAGAAGGATATGAATTGTCATATTCTAATCTCCACCTCAATCCTAAGATCACTGAGGGGATTCTGGGATACCTCCCTCCCCAGAGGCAGACAGGAAGGATGCCCAAATCCTATTTTACAGGTAGAGAAACTGAGGCCCAGAGATTAAATGTTATTTGCCCTCATCAGGTCAGCAGGAGATCTAGGCTAGCCCTTGTGTTCTGACCCATGGAAGACTGATGGGGGGAGGGGGAGAGAGGAACATAATCTCTGTGTTTGCCTGGGACCCAGCTCCTTGACGATGAGCAGGCTATGTGCTAGGCCTTTATTTGCAATGGGCAGAGCACTGGATGAAGTGGCCTCTTAGGTTCTTTCAGTATTGGTGCTCTTAATTTGTGTCTGAAAGTTAGGCCCCAGACTTTGGGCTATGTTCTCAGGACCTGGTTACTGGGGGGTTGGGGTGCTATACTTCCAGAGAACAGGAATCAGCCAGAGCAAGACTATTCACACCCTCCTAAAGTCCCCTGACACACCATCCTAGAAGCCCCTGACTGTTCACACTTGCCACAAGCCCCTGATCACACAGAGCCCTTCAGCTAAGTGGGTCCTTTCAGTGACGGGGTTCTGGCCCCAGAGCAGTCTCTCCTTTGGTAGGCAACAGATTTACATAATTTAAAGTTGGTTTATTTTGGATTGTGATCCTTCCTCCCAAATAACCTGGGACTTCATGCCTAGGACAAGCCCAAGGCCACTGCCACTCCCAGGGCCACCTAATTGTGAGGACACCCTGATAAACAAATAAGCTACAAATATGAGAAAATAGAACTAGTTTAGAAAAACCAATTTAGCCTTTGGCTTCATCGTTTAACTTTTTATGGTATCCATGACAACCAGTGGACCATTTATTAAATCACAGCATCCCTGTATCGTCCTGTGTCAGTGGGGAACATGATGGAGTTGCCTGTGCACAGGTCAGCAGCCAGCCTTCACCCCAGCATGCAGTAACCCCAGCCTACACCCACCCACCTCACCTTGAAGTCGTCTGGCAGCAGGAGTTTGGACGTCCGCAGGAAGCTAAGGACATATCTGAATATCTCCCCATCCCGATCAATGAAATAATGTTGCTTCAGACTGTCTAGTACGATGGGCTCTGTGCCATTGAATAGACGACTTATCCTGAGATGGAAAAAGGAAAGAAAGGTGGTTGGAAAGGAAGGGACCAGAATGTATGAGTTAGACCCCACGATTTGAGGTATGAAACTGGTAAGTCTGAAGATACTGAAGATTAAGACTTGAAAGGGACCTTAGAAGTCATCTAGCCCAACCTGCTTCATTTTACAGAAAGAGAAACAGACCTAGAAGGGACATTTGCTCAAGTAAGTGACAAGAGTTGGGTTTGAACCCAGGTTCTCCAATTCCAAATCCAATGTTCTTCCTAGTATGCAATACTGCTTCCCAAGGTGTTAGGTGACTCTACTTTGGAGGAGGATATAATGGTATGCAGGAATGGGAGCAGTTCTGACTATCTGTACACACCTGGAGATGGACAACACTGCTCCCCCCACCTCCCAACAGACACACTCAATCAGACTCATAAGATACACACAGAGGAGGTTGAAGGATGTGATGGAGACAGAAAGGTTGGCATGAGGGAGGGTGAGGTGCAGCATACTTGAGGATGCTCAGAACACGGATGCCAAAACACAGAAATCGGAGATTACCTGCCACACTAATGGGTTAATTGTTCTCCTTAGGGAGAAATAGCTCTGGCTCCAATTGGGAGGAGTCAATGTAGCTGCAAGGAAGAATTTCTTCTGCTCTGTTCTATTTGTGTAAAGGGGCAGTGACCAGACCTGTACATAGGGTCTAGGAATAGAGGAGCATTTACTGTTCCAAAGAGGCTTCCAAGGTCCTCTTCTGAGGTACAAACCCAGAGAGTCCACAATGATGCTTTGGAGAATCCTTTGACAGCTCTCATACCACTATCTCAGCCTCTAATTCTTTGGAGAAAATAGAGAAGGCCTAAGAGACATTAGATTTTAGGCAAATCCACTTTTAACAAAGTGAAAACTGAAGTTGTAAGTCATCATTTGATACTAGCCTGGTGTGAGGCCAAAACCTTTTTCCCCCCACTCGTAGCCTTAGAATGAAGCTGGCCACACTTTCTGGATGAAATACTAAAGTTCAATTTAGTGAAAAATAATTTTCTGAAACATCCACCAGTAAACCTTAGGAAACAGCCATTTCAGGGTAGGGTAATACCTGGCTCTCACACAGGGTAATTTAACAAAAATGACTAACTTTGGATTCAGGAGCCCCCAGTTAGATCTAAGATATGCCAATACATAAGTGCTAGCGCTGCGATCAGCATTCTCCTTGTATCTCTCCCTGCTCCATGTTGTGGACAGACAGGCCCCCTTCCCACTTCTTCGGCCAAGCTAGGACCTAGTAGTACTCTGTGTGCCTATAGAAGCTGCCTTCACTTCTCCTCCAAGCCTAGCATTTGGGGAAGTAGGTTTACCAGCTTATCCTCGGGGAGAGGGAAGCCCTGCCAGGCATAAGGACAGACCAATGGACCACCAGCACTTCTGCTGTTACAGAGATGGCCTGTAAGGACTGGCTAAGCCAAACATGAGAATGCAGACTCACTGAAGGGCAGAAAACTAAAGACTCATCTACTAGTTCCTCAAGGAGCTTTAGCCTGCTTGTAAGGAGGCCTAGCTCCCCATGCAATGGGAGAGATCCAGGTAACCAAAGGAAGTCTTTCTCATGCCTTATTTGCTCCTCTGGAATTATGTCCATGCATACACAGCCATTGCCTGCGGCTACTACTCTTTACTCTGTGCATATTCTCTTTAAGTCTTTCCTGGGAGCCAATGCCATATTCCCCATAATGATACAGGCAGAACAGGAGAATGAGGGATCTGGGCTCAGTCTTTTGCAGTGAAGGAACTATGTGGGCTCAGTGTAGTATACGAGGTACTAGTATAGTCAGCTTACTTCTGCCAACAATGAATGAGGGACCTTTGTTCAGTCCCTCTATCTAGTGAAGGAAGGATCTCAGTTGTTTGCCTCTACAGTGTTTGATTTAATTAACCCCACGTTTCTGGGGAAATTACCAATGCCTGGATGAGACCCAAGGTTGCAAGGCCTGGACTCCCAAGGCTGGGGCAGCTGGGCTACACCTTGAGCTTGCAATAAGATCACACTTCTAAAACAATCTTTGGACAGATGTTTCTCATCCAAAGAATCTTAGGACAGTCAGCAGAACCCACTGAAACCATATAATTCAGATAGTAGAACCAAAGCTCTAGAGCTCAAAGAGGGCTCAGAAGTCAACTAGTCCAACCCCTTCATTTTACAGATAAGGAAACTAAGGCCAAGGTCACACAGGTAGTAATCTCGTCAGAGATAGGATTTGAACTCAGGTCTTCTGAATTTTTACTTCAATTCCTTTTTTCTTTACAGGGGGGAAAAATGAAATCCAGAGAAAGGAAGTAACTAGCCCATGGTCACATGCATACTAGTGGCAGAGCTGGAATTTGAGGCTAGTCTCTATCACAGGGCTCCATCTCTGCTTGAGTATAGGGCGTCAGTCTTTCAAGAGTTAAGGCTCATTTGGGAGACTATTTGAGGACTGATAAGCTTGGAACAACACTGATTTTCTAGATATTTCAGAATCAAAGCCCTAATCCTGTCAAGCCCTGCCTCCTGCTAACTACAGATGGGGAGGAAGGCCTCCCAAGTATTTCATTGACTTACTGTGTTTATCAGGAATATGCAGGCCAGGTACTGGGCATGCCCTATCATCCCCCAAACAAGAATACCAAAGCTGGAGCATGTAATGACTAATCAGGAGAAAACGGCTCAACCTTAGGAAATCTACCACTCATCTACTGGTGTGTACATTGATGGGGAAGGAGGTGATGGTGGTCAAATGACAGCACCCTGGGCTAGTGATGCCAAAGTCATGGATTTTCCATCTCTAAATCATACCCAAGCTGAGCCTTAACCCCAGCAACGGACTGACCCTAACACAGGCCACTAACAGAGGCCACTAGCCCTGATCCCATGCAGAACAATGATCCTTAACCACCAGACTGAGCGTTAACCATTGGTACCATTCTAGAACCTGACCCTGGCTACAGCATGACCCTTAACAAGAGCTTGGAAAGGACTTCAGAGGTCATCTAATCCATTTTCCTCATTTTATAGATGTGGAAGCAGGCCCTAACCATTGCCATAGACTTGACTTCCTGCCAGCTTTCTTGTGAACAGATGAGTGTGGATGGCTCAGTGCAGCCCACAGGTAATGTCCTCGAGAGACACTGGGGATGTTCTCAGGAGACAAAGGGACCCTACGGAAGGACATTAAGGATCTTATTGAGAAGCAGTGAGGACCTTACGCAGGAACAATGGAGTTGTAATTGAGGATAATGGAGAAATTGAAAAGAACAGTGAGGATACCACAGAGAAGACAGTGAGGATACTATGTTGGGATGGTGTGGAAGCTACTGGTAGACAGCAGGTGGATTACAGGGGGCCAGAGCCACACCATGAAGTATGAGGCAGGGCTCTGCCTTTGTGTCATCATTAGCTACTCCTGCGACCTCTGGGGATCACCATTTGTCCTACGGGATGTAAAAGGCAGATGGTCCCCAGCCAACCTGCACTCCAACTACTGTCACTATGAATGCTTCTGTGCACTGAAGAAAGAAGACCCAGAATGGACCCAAATATCACACCATATACCAAAATAAAGTCAAAATGGGTTCATGACTTAGATATAAAGGCTGATACCATAAGTAAACTGGGAGAACAAGGAATAGTTTACCTATCAGATCTATGGAGAACAGAAGAATTCATGACCAAACAGGAGATAGAGAACATTATGAAAAGCAAAATGGATAATTTTGATTACATTAAATTGAAAAGTTTTTGCACAAACAAAGCCAATGCAACTAAGATTAGAAGGAAGGTAGAAAATTGGGAAAGAATTTTTACAACCAGTCTCTCTGATAAAGGCCTCATTTCTAAAATATATAGAGAATTAAGACAAATTTATAAGAACACAAGCCATTCCCCAATTGATAAATGGTCAAAGGATATGAACAGACAGTTCTCAGATGAAGAAATTAAAGCCATCTATAGTCATACAAAAAAATGCTCTAAATCGTTATTGATTAGAGAAATGCAAATCAAAACAACTCTGAGGTACCACATCACACCTATCAGATTGGCCAACATGACAAAACAGGAAAATGATAAATGTTGGAGAGGATGTGGGAAAATTGGAACGCTAATACATTGTTGGTGGAGTTGTTAAAATGATCCAACCATTTTGGAGAACAATTTGGAAGTATGCCCAAAGGGCTACAAAAATGTGCTTACCCTTTGATCCAGCAATAGCACTTCTAGGACTATATCCCAAAGAGATCAAACAAATGGGAAAAGGACCCACATGTACAAAAATATTCACAGCAGCTCTTTTTGTGGTGGCAAAGAATTGGAAATTGAGAGGATGCCCATCAATTGGGGAATGGCTGAGCAAGTTGTGGTATATGAATGTAATGGAATACTATTGTGCTGTAAGAAATGAATAGGCTGACTTCAGAAAAACCTGGAAAGACTTACATGATCTGATGCTGAGTGAAGTGAGCAGAACCAAGAGGACTTTGTACACAATAACAGCCACATTACATGATGACTAATATTGTTAAACTGAACCCTTCTCAGCATTATGAGGATCTAAGACATCTCCAGAGGCCTTGGGATGGAAAATGCTGTCCACATCCAAAGAAAGAACTATGGAAGTCAAATCGCTATCACTTATTTTTACCTTCTGCTGAGTTTTGTTTCATCTTTCTGATGGTTCCTCCTATTGGTTTTAATTTTTAATTACAACTTCACTGATGTCAAAATATGTTTAATGGGTATGTAAATGTAAAACCTATGTCAGGTTGTGTGCCGTCTTGGGGAGGGTGGGGGGAGGAAAAGGGAGAAAAATTTTCAACTCAAAAGCATATGGAAAAAAAAAAGTCACAAAACAGTCCAGTTGGTGTCTGTGTCTAAAGCATTTGATGAAATACCAATGTGCTATTTTATAAAACTGAGATAATCAGATTTGAGTTCTTTGTTACTCGCCTGTTAAATTCTTTTTCTGATTTTCCAGAGTTTGTTGTTACTAGTGAAGATAATGTTGATGCATTAAACTTGAGTGATAAGCCGTCAAAAAAGAAAGAAAGAAAGAAAGAAAGAAAGAAAGAAAGAAAGAAAGAAAGAAAGAAAGAAAGAAAGAAAGAAAGGAAGAAAGAAAGAAAGAAGAGCCAGAGCACTCCCTGTAGGCCAGTGGAGTCTCTCTTGAGCTTCTTCTTCAATGCCAGCCAGATATGACTGATGATCCCCACAAATCCCTTCTCCCTCAGTGGCTTTCACTGTTCTTTATTCCCCAATTCTCCAACATCATTGCTTTCTCTGACTCTATCTCACTGAACCTTCTTGGAAATTTTTTTTTTAAAACACACATAAGGCATTGATCTTTTTTAAAAAAAAATTGGTGCAAAAAGAATAAAAAAATGAATAATTGAGTAAGGATCAGGTTGAAGGAGATCTGAGGCTCTAAAGAGAATCTGAGGGAAGCCAATGTTACTATAAAGATTCTGCTAAACCTGGTCCTGAGTCCATGACTGTGAGAGCACACAGACTACTTAAGTGACAAGGGAGTGCAGCCATGGCATGATGCACGGACTGGCCATACCACAGGAGCTGACATCCCTCACGTAGCACATGGATTAGTCTGCAGTCATGACAGCAATTGGGAAAGAATGCTGGATTTGGAGTCAAAGAAAGTGGGTTCGGACCTCAGCTCCTCCACTTGTCACTCATGTGACAAGCAGCAAGGCCTCTCTTATGGCCTCCATTCCTTCATCTGTAAAGGCAGAGGGCTGGAATGGCATCTCTAGCTCCCTTTCCAGCCCTAAATCTATGTTCCTAATATGCCAAGATTCATGAATAAGCCATAAGGCCAGGTGAGCATTTAAATTCCATTCATAAAACAGAAGCTGTAGGGAAGGGGCTGGTGGTTATCTGATCACCCTCTCTAAAAGTGACCTGTTTAATGTGGGTTGAACTTTTCCTCAGTGGACAGATTCTTGCCCCATGTCTCCTGACAACTGCCCCTTTCCTTTTACCAATCAGAAAAAAGAACCTAAGGTTGAACCTTAAGCCAGCCACATGTTCCTAATGTCCTCAATGTCACCATGGAGCAGAAATTCCCCTCTGTACCTTTGTGTAGGCTGGAACCACCCCACCCCCCGTCCCAGCCCATGCCATCCTATTTCACCACAACGATTTAGCATCCTTAACTTACTTCAAAGCTCAGCACAGGTACCATTTCCTACAGGAAGGCTCTCCTAATCCCCTCCCCCCAACTGCTAGTACCGTTCCCCTAAAAATTATTTTGTATTTACTTTTATGTGGATATACTGTTTCCCCTTCCAACTGAACATACACTGGAGGGTAAAAATTATTCTGTTTTGTCTTTGTACCCCTAGTGCAAGGAAGACAGGGGGCACTTAGTAAATGTTTGGTGAAGGAATGAATAAAGTCCAGGTTAGTGTCTTCACTGCACCAGTGACACTAAACAGGTAGGTGGACAGATAGGCCGAAAGCCATGCAGCATGGCAGACAGACAGACAGACAGGCAGGCAAGTGGCACTCAGGGCATTTGGCTGAGCCCTCGGGCTGTGAGGCTTACAGAGGGGATGTCATACAAACATGATCAGTGTGCCTCACGGCAGTGCCATCGCACCAGTGGGCAGGCAGCATTCATGGAGGATGCATCAATTTGCAGCCACAGCTGCCCACTTAAAAAGAAGCAGTTAAGAGGAAAAACACAATTTGCTATTCTAAGATTCCCCCACATGAAGGGGATGTGTGCACATGGGACAAATGCATGTAGACAACCCAGAGACATGTCATGCTTGCACAGACATGCAGATTCCTACTACACTGACCAGAAGCTGTGTGGGGAGACATATGGGGTCCTAGTATATAAAACCACAGATACGGACATGGGTACACCTATATATGTGGCTCCTTATTAAAACAAACCACAGATGTGTGTGCATTCATGTGCCCTTGTGCATATGTGTGGATTCACATTCTGTGTGCCCACAGCTAAAACAGCATATACCCTCTGCTACAGCCTCCTTGCCCCTGTGGGACCAACCACATACCAAAACTCGTTAGTTACTGAGTTGGCTGAGATTATAGAGCATGCTCCAAGAAAGAATTCTTAATAAAACACAGCAGATAAACAAGGACAATGGGACATCAGACCTTCGGGTACCAAAGGCTGAAGCCTTTTGAAAAACAGCAATAACCTCCCCCCCAAAGGCTACAAGCTTCTGCCACGCAGATGACCACAGGGCACAGACAGGGAAATGATAAGGATGTAACTCTGGGTTTCAAATCCAGGGTCACTGAGAGTGGGCATTCATCTGGCCTCATCCCCCTGCATTTAGGCTCAGAGCTTTCAGCCCTCTTCCTTGCAGAAGACTCTCCCGCTGTAGCCCTCCTTCAGCACAGAACGTGAAACTCTTCCCATTTCCCCTGACTACTCAGTTGTGATTACATCACAAATTCAGTTTTGCTATTCTCAGGGAAGCTATTCCACAGAGTGTTGTGGGCAAAGGTTTTATTAATTTAACTCAAAAACGTCGTCAACTGATTAAGGGTTGATCTATCTAAAACAACTCGGGAATGCTGCAGACGGCAAAACTGAAATTAAATACCCGGACTCTGTCTCTCTTCCTAGACACATCTCGCTATGTGTGTTGCCCTCACATGTTGCTTTACACAGATTGGTATCACCCCCCTCCATCATCTGCTGACACAAAAGGACTATCACCCCACAGGTCAGTTATAAACGATGACCTAAGTATACTTAGAGCTCCTCCACATCCGGCCAGAAACACCCACTTTAGTCTACAAGAAGCAGAACTGTTCCAAAGCCTTTCTGATCATCAACAAATGAGTCAACAATCCCCTGGGTTTCATCTCCAGCCGACTTATACTTTGATGGGTTACACCATGGAAGTTTCTATTAAATATGCCTGTTTCTGGAAGTGTCAGCAGGGATTTCCTTAAAGCTGTGGGAACAGATGTGAGGCTCGTCATACAGCCGCTATAGTGCCAATGCATGCCCTCTCATCTCCTCTGCAAATGTCCATCCTCGTCTGCTATAAATTCTCCTCCACTGGGAGGAGATACTTCTGTGCAATCAGGCCTTCAGAGCATCTTAATATACAAGTTTCCAAAGCAAGCCACTTGGTATTTCGGACATAAGTGAACAAACATCCCAGGTTAATTTTTTTCCCTTAAATTAAGTGAGTCAAACAATTGAAATCAATGTGACTCTCCTTCTACATTCATTTCCCTTTTGTGCCCAGACTTGGTATGGCTCTGTCCAGGCACCAGAGTCAGTTCCATACTCAGATAAAGCGCACAGATCCTTATTGGCCCCCAGTGATGCCAAATGGGGCTCTGAAAAGAGTACTGGCCTTGCTTACTTGTAAGGCCTAACCTCTCTGGGCTTCAGTTTCTTCGTCTGTAAAATGAGGGGGTTTGACTAGATGACTTCTAAGGTACTTTTCCAATTCTAGATTGATGATTCTATGATTCTCACCCCCAAAGCCACAGGCCTGATCTTCAACCTTAGGAATAGGCTTCCATGGACACTCTTGCTCCCATAAATAAGAAGGAAATCTCAGCCCAGTGTTAAGTGCTATACACCACTGGCACAGGAACCCAGGAAACATTTAATGGGCAAGTTTTGGACAAGAAAAGAAACTCCAACTTCATATACTGCCAAAAGTATGGGCCTAAGAAGAGGGATGGGCCAGAAATAGAAACTGCACCTAAACGGATCTCCAGAGAGGATGAGGATGAGGATGAAAGCCAGCATTTATAAGGTTTGCAAAGCATTGTACAGATATCATCTCATCTGATCCTCATAATAATCTTAAGAGGTGGGTGCTATTATTATCCCCATTTTACAGAAGAGTAAACTCAAGTAGTCAAAGGTGAAGTTACTTGCCCTGGGTCATACAGCTAATAAGTGTCTGAGACCACATTTGAACTCAGGGCTTCTGACTCCAGCTCTAGCACTCTACTGCATCATCTAGCTGCCTCCATAGATGATCCACAGTAATTTATTTAAAATAGTTAAGGGTTTTGGATGAAGGCAGAATATATGTTCTGGGTATGGGAGATGACAATAGAGAAGGTGACTGACCACAGCATTCCCAAATGGCCCCATCAATGACAGACCAAAGGAGCTGAACCCAAGGGAAAGTTCTGACATTTCCTCATCTGTCATCATGGCTTCCCCATTAGCCAGCCCTGCTCTCTGGGATGATGCCAGAGACACTGCACCAGAGCCTCAGTGACCCAGCTCATTTCCCTACTGAGATATCATGAGGTATCTGCTTTTGACTCTTCCATCACAATCATTTCTAGCAAGTAAATGTTTACTGAAAGGAAGAAATTTGGCTGAAGTTCCCCAAAGGGTTAAAATCTGCAGTGGGATGAAATGACCTTTGACAGTTCCGTAATTAGCATGTTTGACAAAAAAGCATACACAATGGTCAGTAAAGTTCAAGGCTGCTCAGTGGGCGCTGGCAGCACAAGCTGCTCGGGGGAGTGTGGAGCTGGCCACCCAGGGCCTGAAAAGAACGACAATGCAACTGAACAGCCATGGCTGTGATCCACAGAGACTTTACCTGCAGGATTTGGCCACTACGGTAGGTGCCACAGGACCAATCCATTTGGATGCAGGGCTACTTTCTAAAAACAAAACTTTGTTCCCAAAGAACTATCTTTCCTCATGCCAACGACAACCTGAGAGTCTGTGCCACCAGGTGATTGAAACACTGTCTCCTACGACATACAGGAATGAGGGGGGAAAAATGACCTATCTGAGCTCCCAGGTCACAGCCGTCCCAAAAGGATGTCCTTGAGCCCAGGCAGATGCAATATATGGAAGAACCCATTACCAGACACATGGTGATAGAGAAAGGTCTTCCTTCACTCAATGCCAGCTAGGTATATGGCAGAAGAAAGAAGCAAGGTCTTTCTTACCTCGAGTCCGGATACTTGGTGAGGGTAGCCAGACTGCTGGTGTACATGTGTCCCCCTACGTCGATATGCACGGGAGCGTTGGACTTGGTGAGCTGAGCTGGGAGCGGGATTCCCTGAGCTGCCAGGGGAGAGACTGGGGACCGTGTGAGAGAGAGTCGGGACATGCTTCTTCTCTCCTATGAATGCAAACAAAACAACAGAACAGTTTTTCTTTAGTGTAGCTGCGGATTTCCTTTATTTCTGGTGTGATCACAGATCTAATCAGATCACTTTTGCATCTGCCTGATCACATATTCAGCTGACAAATTATTGCCACCACTGTAATTAAGTGTATTTGCATCATTTTCTTCAAAGTACCAGAGGGTAAGAGAAAGATGCTTATTAGCAATAAGAAATCAAGAAAAAAAATTTTCAAGGTGTCAGCCTCCAGGGGCATAAAACAAACTGCAAAATCCTAATTAAAGGTCGCGGGCTTATGTGTTAGATGTGAAATATCCCCTGACAAACGAATCACCAATTTGTGAATTGGGATTCAGGGGTTTTTGCAAGTTTGTCTCAGTAACGAGACACCTCTAAATTAGTGACTTCCTCAGCACCTAAGGCAGTGAGTTTATATATGTAGTAAATTTCACATCAAACTAGGAGCATTTTTGGTTTAAAAATATATAATAGGCATGCCAGATCAATACCTATCATTTGGGTTTCACCACTGAATGAAAGAAAAGAAAGCGTAGAGTCCTGGGCAGGAGGGAATCTTGTGCTTTCGCTGAGAAAAGAGCTAGAAAGGACCAAGCATCTTCCTGCTCTCACCACCTTTATCAGAACTGACACTGGAAATGAGAAATCATCACACCCAATCTCACTGAGTATCTATCCTTCCATATACTTCCAAGAATATCTGTGGCAAATTCCAGTAAAATAGAAAGGTAATTGACTTGTCTGCAACCATAAAATGGAACTCTGTCTTTAGAAAGTCAGCTTCAATTTTGTGGAAATCCAGACACTTGGATTCCCTACTATTGGGAAGTCTTCCCTCCCACCCAATGCAGTCCCAGCATTGCTTCGCCTCCCATCCCCCTGCCTACCACCTCCACAGGCCAGGTATCCGAAAGGAAAGAGAGCCGATCCTCCCCTTCATCAGATTCCTACATGTATTTCCTTCCCCATTGCAGATATCACTTACACAACACGCAATAGGAACAGTCACAGAGAACATATGAGCCAAGGTACTCCTCTGCTTCACACAATATTACATCCATCACAGGCAACATACATGTATATGTTTTAGCGTTTCATGTCTATCACGTCTGTTACCAACTGTAGCGCAACATATGCTCAGCATTATCGTTATAAAACATTTCAGAGCCTAATCTAATTTTCCTGGTATTTTGTTTTGCAGTCATGATCCCAAGTATGGGCTCTCTTACATCAGCAAAGGGCTTTACAGACCACAGCACACGGTTAATATCTACTTTTACCAACTGGCTTTCCCACCACACGGTAAAGCCCAAGCTGTCACCTGGAATCTGGTTGTCCATCTCGTTGGGACAGACTTTTCTCAGCATGCTACCCATCCAAACCTCTTAACCATCCCACCAGGAGATAAGACCTGGTGCAGAAGAAGCCTCACATGGGGCCCTTTAATGAGGTGCAAGAGCAGCTGAGAAAACGTGACTTTTGTCCATGGAAAAGCTCCCCCCCTTTCCCAATGACAGCACAAGTCTTCTCCCTTCATATAGACGGGGAGATCAGAACAGCCTCTGGCACTTAGTCATCAGCAACACCAAATCTAAATCCATTGTCCTAGACTTCAGCTCACTGGCTTCTCCCACGGGGCACCCTAAGGCACAAGGCACAAAGCTTGCCTCTCTCTAGCAAGGTCACAGTCAGGAGGTGGAGGACATTTATAAACAGGTCCCATTAAATACAGAAGTACTAGCTTAAAGCATAGACATGGCAAACAGCATGATGAAAACAACAGCTGCCTGGGAAGGCATCCCCTGCCAGTGTGGCCGGCCTTTCTTTTCTGTGCCCCATATCCTCACCACTGCCACCCCCATTTTGAGTAGGGGGCCTATGTGGCTCTGAGGAGATGCTGTTTATTATTACTAATGACACGGTAGGCACATACTGTATTCACACACATATGTACACACCACACATCTGTTCTAGCATTAGTAAAAATACAACCCTGTTTGCCTTCTGACATACCTATCAGGGTCAGCTACATATGGGCTTTTTTTTTTTTAATTCTGGAAGGACTGGAGAAATACGATTCAAGGAACCCATGAGAACTAACTTCCTTGCTAACAGTTTGACATCTAAAAGTGATAACCCTGATATTCTACAGCCAGTTTTAACATACAGAATTGGGGGTCTACTGGCGGGTAGCTGGGCATATTCGAGGAATGCCTCTCTGCCATGACTTGGCTTCACGTCTGTGCCAGAAGATCTCTCAGATCTGGAGGTTGCAGCATTCAGGACCTGTACACACAGCATAGAGATTTAATTTATGGGACTCATTGGAGGGTCTTCTCCCCAGCTCTGGCTATACCTATAGATCACCAGGTCTCCAGAAAGGGAAAAAAAGCTAAGAAACTAAAATAGGTTCCATTGGGGGTAGAACATTCTGGCTTAACCTAAGCCAGGGCTTTTAAATTACAGGGGAAAGTACTGTAAAAAGAAAGCTTTTATTTTATATTGCAATTTAAGTCATAACTATAGTTACTATAGTTCCATAAAAGTATTTGTATCAACTAAGTAGCTCCCAAACTTTGTCTGCATTCAGCAAACATGAACTAACCTTAAAATAAAATTTAAATATGATGGTCCTCACATCACAAAACTTCTTCAAACCCAATTTTTCACTCCCCCATTTACAACTCACACACAATTCCCTGGTTGCTGCTAACCAGCATCTTTGTGCACAACCCAGAAATTAACAGAGCTCCCTCCTGCATGAGGGTTCAACACCTCCAGGTCTCTAACACCCACCTTTAATTCAAAAGATTGAAAGTAGGTGCCCAAAAGACAAATAAAAGCTGACTGAGAAACTGCCACTGCCCACAGGCCTGCCCTCATTCCAGCAGCAACACCATCCCATCCAATTCCATCCCATCCCAGAGGATGAGGCAGCAAGTCTCAACAGAAACAGACCCTGCCCACAGCAGGCAAACTCGGTAGGGCCTAATTTCCATAGCCTCTGCCTTTTCCCTTCCCCAGCCTCAAACAAACACCTGATCACTGCACACCTGGCCACTACACACCTGATCACTCCATGCCCCACCATTGGGCGTACAATGATGGCTGCGTGCAGTCACTCTTTATGACAATCATTATACACCTGGTCACCACACAAGCACCACTACACAGAGAATGACTTACACCATCATCCCCCACCCCATCACTCCAGTCCATCATCACTGTACACTCCAATCACTCCACATGCCATTATTGACATCCCAAACACCACCATCATTGCACACCAAGATCTTCTGCCCCAGCTTCTCTTCTTGCCTTCCCAAGCCGGCTGCCTAAGTACTGCTTGTAAAAGCGATTTGCCCATGCAAAGGGAAATAATCAGAATGCCACGCTCATTTACACACAAAATGAGTTTGTGTCCCATTGTGTTCACAGTTGTTCAGCTCTCTAGGGGTGATTAAACTCGCTGTGCGGCTCCAGCTTGAGATGATTTCACTGAATCGTTTCTCCGTGAAGTTGCTTCTTTGCGAAGCTGTTATTTTAACCATAAAAGGTAAACAGAAGGCAGTTGTAAGAGCGCCATTGAGCTCGCTGGCTGGCTTGCTCACTCAGAGCCCAGGGCTAGGCGCCTTGGGCGGGAATGCTGAAAGACTGCAGAATTTTCCAGGGTGTGGGCTCCTGCTCCAGGCTTGCAGCAACCCGGCTCCTTTAATGCATACTCTTCAGACACTGTTCAGATCCCACTCACAGCAAGGCTTTCAAAGTCTTAGAATTTTGGGGAGATGCAGGTTTCACCTGGGCTCACTGCCCAGGGCTATGGGAACCACTCCCAGTTGCTGTTGGGGCAACAAGGAGACACAGCCAGCCTGGGGCCCAAACCAGAGCAGGCCAGGCAGATCGAGAGGCTCAAGTCCCAGCAGGGAGAGCAAAAAAGAAAGGAGGGAGAAATAGAAAGGCCCAGGGCCCAGCCAAAGAATGAGACAGAAGCCCAGGTCCTGGCCCAAGGAAGGGTTAAAGGTGTCAAAAGAAAAAAACTAGAAAGGTGGGGGGAGGGCACTGAAGAGTGGAGTGGAAGGGGGAGGAAGAGACAAAGTTAAATCAAGGAGCAGACACTTAGAGAGGCTGCAGATGGGAAACTCTCCTAATTAAGGATGTAAAAGCGCTTTGTTCCCAAAGTTTATTGTTGCCAGGATAAAAAAAATTAATTGAAACTAATGCTGTTATTCACTCGTGCAGTTTAATTCCTTCATGCGCATTTAAGACATAAAGAAAACTGCAGGTTTCAGGATCCGCCTCCCCAGCCCTAGAGGGTGGGTGGGGGAAGGGTACCTCTGGCTGGGCAGCCTCCGCCTGTGTGCATGCATGTACTTGCCTATGTATACATATGCCAGTACACATCTCTGTGTACACATCTGTGCACGTGTGCATGTGCCAGTGCATGGATATGCATCTGTGCCTGCTTGTATCTGTAGGTGTATACAAGTGTACCTATTCCTAAATATCTGTGACCCTGTGTCCAAGTTGCATAGGTGCCCCTGAGCCTGGGGTGCTTGTGCACGCACAGGGCTCGGTCTGTGTCCTTGTCCTTGGTAGGGTCAGACCTCTGCTCTCCAGTTTTCCAGTCCCTCGTCCCTAAATCCTAAAAAGAAATAACCCTGTCTCCAAGGGCTCTCATCCCTACTTCTCCCGCTACCCCATTTCAGCCACGAGGCTGGGGGTATGGGGCGGGATCTGTCCCGGCACAGGCACACAGACTTTACTTTCAATCCCTCCCGCATCAGTTTGGGCGCCAAACGCATGCCAAGTGTGTCCGCTCGGAGCTGGGCCCTGCGTGTGGTCACTCCCGACTGACGGCTCGCACCGGCCCCCGACTGCCGGGAACTTTTTTGAGGGGGAGGGGAAGTGCAGTTGGTTATATATCAAACTCCAGCGTGCCCCAGAAGACTTCAACCACCTAGGCGCCCCTGAGTTCAGCCCCACGTGGGTACGTCCTTTCTGGCTCCACTAAAGGCCAATCCTCCCCCCTCCCCCCAAAGGCTACGGTCAATCCAATTGTGCCGTAGGTCCCAGGAGGAAGGATTAACATGCTCCTGGGTCCCACATAGCGTGCGGGCTGGTATGAGAACCTAAGTGGACGCCCAGGGGCTTGGCCGCGCTCAGTGCCTCCTTCTCAGAGGCACCCCCCAACCTCTTTGTGCGGCCGCAGGACCCACACCACTGGCGTGTGCCCCAAGTAGGACTCCGGCGCGCTCAAGCCCCTTGGGAAAGGGGGCACAAGAATTAGCCTCCAAGTGGTAGTCGCCATGTCCCCGCCCCCTGGGGAGGACCCCAGACCCTCGGATCCCTTTTGCCTTTGCCACCGTCTCCCGCTGGTCCGGACAAAAGCTGCGGATCGCGCGCCCCTGCCCTCCCCAAGCCTAGGGCCGTCTCAGCGCCTGGCGCCCCCTGCCCTTTCCTGGATCCACTCACCGCGGGGAGTCCTCTCCTTGGCTCGGCGGCCCCTGGCCTTCCTCGGCCCCACAACGCGCAGCAACCCCCACGCTAGCCGGCCTCACTCAGAGCCTCCCGCCCTCCCCTGGGCGCGGCCAGGAAAGGGGCCACGGATCGGGCGGGGGGCGACCAAGTGTCCGGCCCTGCCGGCCAGGGTTGGAGAGGGGGCCCGGGATCCGTATCAGGGGCCTCGGCGCCTTTAATGCCCCCCCCACCCCTTCCTGTCCCTTAGTCTCCGAAGCGACTTTGTCCGAGTTGGGGAAGATACTCTCCGAAAAGAGGGCGCGCAGTCCCCAGCTCCGCGCGGAACCTCCGCGCCCTCATCCTTACCTTGGACATGGGAGACGCGGCGGCAGCGGCGGCGGCGGCGGCGCGGTCACGGGCCCCCCGGCCCTGGCCCCCGCCCGCCTCCTCCCGCCCGCGGCTCGGGGTCTCGTGTGTCCGGGCCGCTTGGGCGCGCTTCTTTTCTCTGGTTTTTGGCTCCTCGGGTCGGTTCGGTCTCGTCCTGTAGTTACTTTCTCCTGAGTCCCCCCACCCTCCCCCCACCCCTCCTCCCTCCCCCGGCCCCTCTCTGCGCTGTCCCTCGCCGAGCCAGGCAGGGCTCTGCCCCCCTCCCTTCCTCCCCCTCCCCTTCCTCTTCTTCCTCTCCCTCCTCCTCCTCTTCTTCCCCGGCCTCCTCCTCCTCCTCCTCGCCTGCCTCCTCCCCCTCCTCCTTCTCTTCCTCTTCCCTCCCCCTCAGTCTCTCCCCCTTGCTCCCCAGCTTCTTTCCCCTCGCTCCCCGTCTCCCTCTCCGTCTCTCTGTCTGATTGCTATTGAGGAAGGGGGGAAAAACCCCAAAACAAAACCCTTTAAAATCGAAACCCGCCGAGACTGCTCTGAAGAGAAAGGGCAGTAATCCGTCTCTAAATACAGGAGTGAAACACACACACACACACACACACACACACACACACACACACACACACACAGGCGACTTCTAGCTTCGGGCTTGGCAGGCACCTTGGGGGCAGAGGATTAGAGCTACAATTAGCTCAGCTCTGCGCCCGCCCCGGCTAATTTCTCGATAAAAATGTATTTTCCCTTTTTTATGGGAAAACCAGAGGAGCCTCACCTCTTTCGCTCTCTTTAAAAATAAACCCAATTGGAGACCCTCCCTCCTTCCCTCTTCTCCTCCCTCTCCCTGGTGCCCGCGAGAAATCCCCCCTACTGATGACAGGATGCTCTCTGTTCCTGTCCCTGTCTTTCTTTCCTTGCCCCTCTCCTGCTCTTACCCCCTGTCTGTTCCTGCTTCTTTCGCGGTATCGTTTTCTGTCTCAGTCCTCAGCCCTATCTCTGGCCCTGGACCTGGCTCTGTTTCTGGCTTCCTTCTCCTCCCGCCACCCCCACCCCCGCCCGAGCCCAGCCAGACCGGGCTATAACGGTTTGAAATGTGCAGGGCCTCTGTCCCCCGCGTCCAGTCCTCCAGGAATCTCCCAGGGAGAGGAAGGGGCCGCCGAGGGGACTGGGCAGGGGCGGGGGGCGAAGCTGATTTTAATCACTGTCATTTCGTCTGATGTCATATTTCCCCCGGCGTTCTCAGCTGGGCATAAATTTTCGGCTCCCGAATAAGTAACACAGGGCACGTTTCTCACATTTCTCTACTCCTCGGCTATAAGGAGGGAGCCGCCGCCGCCACGGGGGTGACGGGGGGAACTTGTTGAGAAACTGGGCTGGAAGTTAGCGTGGGGTTGGAGAACACTGATATCTGGGGGGCCTTTCTTCCTTTCGGCCTTCCTATCATCCCTCCTCCCTCTTCATCTTATCTCTCCCCTTTCTTCTGATCTGCTTCCGTAGCCTTTTCTCCACACCTCTCCCTTTCTTCCTTTCATCTCTTCTCTCTTCTAATCTCCTTTCCCTTCCTATCTCTCGCCTCCTCTACTCTCCTTTCATCTCTTCTCTTGCCCTCCACTCACCTCGCCTCTACCTTTCCTCTCACTTCTTTTCCATTCTCATCTTTTCCCCTCCTCTTCCTTCTTACTTTCCCTCTCCTCTCTCTTTCCGCCTTCCTCTCCTCCCTTTCCCTGATCTCCCTTCTCTCCGCCTTTTCACCCTCTCTTGCTAATGTCTCGCCTTGTAAAGCGCCCGGTTCTCCTGGAGCCATTAAAACCAAATGACGTCTATGGACACGCGGAGCTATTGCGGGAGGGGGAGGGAAGAAAGGAGGGGGTGCCTGGCTATTCGCCCCAGGCCAAACGCGCCATTTCAATTGTAGCGCGCGGTGACGGTGAGATGGAGATGTCTGAGGCGAGGACTTCCCAGACCCACCGGGCTCGCTTCCACTGGAGCTCGGCTCCGCCCGCCCCCACGCCCCACGCCCCACGCGGCCGCCGAGGCCCCTTCGCATCTCCCCCCTCCGCCTTTACCACCCCCTCTTTCCACATCGCCTCCCTTCTGCTCTCCCCTCCCCGCAACCAAATCACCAACCCTTCCAATGAGCTTTCAACTCCATTCCTCGCCTTTCCACTCCTCCCCCACTTCCTGGGGCTTTATCTCACAGCAAATAATGCCATGTCCACCTGCATCCCTGGTGGGGTCCATACGGCCCCGCTTTCTTACTCCTTTGGGTCCCCAGGTTGGCGCTTTTCTCTTCCATCACCCCACCCTCATCCCCCAGGTTGGGGAAACACGCTAGCTTATTCCACATCCCCATCCCTACCCCCGACTTAGTACCACAAACAATCTCCCTACCCCCACCCCGGCCGGGGCAGGGACAACCTAAGACCGTTCCCCACCCCAGACCAAAGCAAACACTAGTGACCCACCACCTTTCTCTCTCCCGCCCTCAACGCGTGGCGCAAACCCGAGTCCGCGCAAAGGGCAAGCTGGGATAGTTTTCCTTTCAACGCCCCCTGGCGGCTGCTCGAAGTCAAGGCCGTCGGCTAGTGGCCAGAGACTTAGCCAAGGTCCGGCCGCCCCAGAGGGTTCGAAACAGGACCCACTTTAGACTTAGTCGGCCGGCTCTCGGCGGACTGGCTTGTAGTCGACGTGCAGGGGATGAGGTGTGGGTTTTCTCCAGGGAAGGCTGACAAGGGCCCAGGGACCATCCAAGGACAGAGTGACGGGTGGGCCCCAAAACTGAGGCATTTTCAAAGTTCTCCTAGATGGCAGGAATAAACAGAAACTTTTTTCCTAAGGGTAGGTTTTATTTTTTTTAAGCACAAACTACAGGAGAAGAGGGAAATTTTCTCATTAAAGTTACATCCCTGCAGTTAGTTCAATTACTTGATATATGCAGAAGATGTTGTAAATTTAAAGATTTAAATAGCTTACAAAGATGCCGG